AAGAGCCCCAAATACATCAAAATCAGGAACATTTTGCCTGTTTCATATTCATAGTTTCTTCTTTACGTGTGACTGATTTATTCTGCTGCGTGCCCCCAGGGTGTGCATTGTCCGAAATAAAGGCTGCCAAAAAAAAATGAGAACAGGGAGCAAGTAGGGTGGGGGGAGTTCAACCACTGTTTTTAAATGCTGTGAGACTATTGCACATCTTGTGTCCTCCTGTGTGAATACACCTTCTGGTGTTTCTTAACAAAAGCATGCTCACTAAATAAATAACTCCAGCACAATGCAAGACATCATGCCTGAAAATAGAAAGCTGCTCCGAGACAGTTACTCCATGCTGTGAAATCTGCTTTCTCCTGCTTCTGTATTGTCTTAAGTTGTACTTGTGCTGCTGTAGCATGTGCTTGCATTATAAAGCACTCTGGCCATGCAGTAGAAAGCACAAACGCATGGAAAGCAAGTGTCCGTGATTATTTTAGTGTCTGGTTTTGCCTAAGAGATGGATTTGATATTCAGTGACTTTTTTGCTCTCTGGTGTGTATGGATGTTGAAAACAAAGGGATCACAAATTGCTTTGACGGTGTCAGCAAAGCTGGCTCGGCGGAGCGGGCTCTCTGTGGAGTGCACAATGCCTGAATGACAGAAACGCAGACTGCAAGGCAGAAACTTGTAAGCCACTACGTGCAGATATGTTTCAGCCAGGGAGCCGGCGACTTGACCAGAGGCACAGCTCACAAGGCTGCCTGCAAACTTTGCCCAGGTGCAGAGGAGCAGTTCCTTAAGGGCTGCGATGAGGGGGATCTTTCTGCAGTGGGAAGCTATTGTTAAGCACCCCGACAGATGAGAGCAGACCCTTCTCCTGCCACAATAGCTGCTCACACCAAGCAAGACTCATTAAATATTCAGTTCCAGCCTCAAGCAGCTCATTAAGTCAGCAATGAGCAGTGACGCTGGTGTTGGAAAACCCTGCCTCAGTTAACATCACCATGCAGAGTCTCCTCGGATCTCTTGATGTTATTCTGCTCAGTACCTTTTCTGTGATGACCAGCTTGTGCTCTCTGCTTTGCATTAAATACAGGTAAAAAAGTCAGGTGGATTTAAGTTCTCCTATTCTTTATAGGCCTTTTCAGAGATGAGTCCTGGGGCCCAAGCTAAGCGTCTGTTGCATTTTTCTGTAGCAGGGTGTATAATAGAAGTTTGCAGGAGGAGGATGGGAAGAGGATTATATGGCTTTAGTGTTAAAAAACAAACAAACAAAAAACCATAATGTTTGAAGGATAGCTTTCATAGAAGAACGTCATGACATGCAGCAGTTTCAGATGATGTATTACTGTCTGTTGGCTGTTACACAGCAGAAACTTTTACAGTAAGTGTATTTTCCCTGGAAATGCTAGCATCTTACATGGATTTTGGGTTGAGCTGTATGTTGAATATGTTTCTTGTGTGCAGAGTTTCCTTCTGAATGATGTGTTTGAAACCTGTTCTGCAACCACTAACTTTTCAGAGTTGATAATTTCATATCCAATACTACTTAGCAATAATATACAGAGGCGTTTATGGTGGGTGGATGTTAGATGTTGATGAATTAGAGCACACCAGAATCCAGAATTAGGATTGTAATTGTAGAAAATGCATGTATGTTTTCACGCATTGATGTTTAAAAACTGTAATGTCTTCTTTCATCCTTTTCCTTAATGTTAAGTATGGAGCAGAAATGGAGAAGCAGAACATGTGCGAAAGTTTTCGGCTTTTTTTTTTCACAGGGGAGGTTTTCACACCCTGAATCTATCTTTTTCTTTTTCCGTTAACAGAAAGTGTTTTCAGACTGCCCATTTCTATGTGGAGGACAGCAGTTCTCCCCGTGTGGTCCCCAATGAAAGTATTCCCATTATACCTATTCCAGGTAAGACGGGTGTAATCTTCTGTATTTGTGCTGCTTGGAGTCTGGTTTAATTACATAAAGAAGAGAAGGTTATGCTTGTGATAAATCATGGATTTTGGGGAGAAACTTGTTGTATCAGTGCTGCTTGATTTAATTCAAGGTGCTTTGCAATGGGGCTGTGAGTGCCAAAGCTGTGTTTTTCCATAGGCACCTCTCCCACATTGTTTCAATAGAAATTGCAGAATAACCTTTGTAAAATGTCAAAAACATGAGCAACACTTCTTAAAAACACTAAGGCATTGCATCCAGGGTGAAACCAGCTGCTTTGTCAGGGCAGGTTGTGGACGAGGGATCTGCAGCTCCACTGCTCTCTCGAGACTGGGGGACTTGCCCCCCACTTTCAGCATGTGCAGAGGTGGTGTCTGCTGGGGCTCGGGGTCGAAAGCAAGGCACAGGGATAAGCAATCTCAAGTAAAGTCCAAAGCCACCATCTGATAATTTGGTATTAATCAAGTTACCAAAGGTCAAATTCTCCTCTCAGCTATACTGAGAGCGAAGCTGGAAGCAGAGTTTAGCGCTGTTCTCTCTTCATGAGGCATTTCCCCTGGGAGTTATTCAGTGCAGGATCCAGCGCCTTTTAAGCCGCGATGACAGAGAGCAGCTTGATGTTACAGCGGCCTTTGCAGCCACTGCCTTGCTTGGTGTCACTCAGCTTCACAGGCAGAATTAAGATACCTAAAATGTTGTATTGACCTCAGTCTGTCAAATGCTTGTACTTGTTGCTTCAAGGTGTATTCAGTTTCCTTGCCATATTCTGTAATTTGCGTTGTTGGTCTAGGATTCAATCTGCAGCTAATTAGATTCATTTTATCAAAAAGCACTCAAAGCCATCTCTGAGACACTGAAGAAACACGTGTCCTAGAAAAGCGAAAGAATCCAGTTATGTTTTCCTTGATTTTATTCAGTAGACATGTAACTGCTTTCTAGAAAGAGTCTTTCAAGGTACCCATGGGAACTGATATGAAAGGTTAGCTATTACATTGCTGCAAAAAAACATTAGGCAGTTTGCCTTGCAGTCCGATGCTGGGCCACTGAAAATAAAAGAAAACTTGCTATCATCTCCTCTCCTTTCTGTGGCAGACTAAGATGCATGTCCTGGCCACCTCCCTGCCTTAGCAAGAAGCCACCCTTCTTCTCTTTTCGGGTAACAGGAGATGGGAGGTTTTAGTCTTAGACCACCTGCGATGAGTTTTCACAAAAGAACCTAGATGGAGAACTCCGTTCTCCTCTAAAACCAGGAGGAGCACTTCCCTGTTGGGGCTGCTTTTGGCAGTCAGTTTAATGGTCCCACCAAGCCTGCTTTTGTGTGATACCTCCTTAGAACTTGTGAGGAAGGGGAGGGTGGGCTAAGCTGGACTCTGTCCAAAGCAATGTCAAAACTTGGAGGATTATGAGCACAAGGCAGTGGGAGGAGAGAAATTCTTCCCTGAGAGAGAAGTCTTTTTGCCCAACGTATAGGATTTTTTACTCTAATTGAGATAAATCTTAAGTTCGATTAAAACTGTGCAGGTGGTAGGTACCGTAAGGCCAGCACATGGACTAATGCTTCTCCAGCAGCCATTCTAGCGTGTAACAAGTGACTGAGAACAGAAGAGCGTTGCCTTTTAGGGACATCTTCCCATGACTAGAGCAAGCCAAGCTGTTGGACCACAGCAGCTTTGGAACTGACATGATGCGGCCGTCACTGCAGTGCACACTGTGGTCTGCTCAGGCTCGGTGATGCTAAGAGCAAGCTGCTCACCCCTGATAAATGGGCACTGCAGATGAAGGCACCTGCTGAGCCAGTGCTGCAGAGCACCTCGAGAAGCATTGTAGTTAAAAATCTGCAAGGACTGCTGATGAGCTCTATGGCATGCAAAGACCTGGGCCTGAGACAGAGGTTTAGCCTAGTTGGATGCAAAAGTGAATCCAACCCTTGAATTCCCAATCTAATGACAAGATTTTTGTGGATATAATGGACATTTAGACACCTACATACAGACATCCAAATGGAGATGTCTTAATCTGAAGCTGAATCATGGCTAGAAGGTCTGAAGAGGGAATGAACTGATGAACTTGGAGATCTTAGCACAGACAGTAAAGCTATTCAGGTCACCAAAAGCCGAATCACCCTCTGGAAGTGCCTTTCTATGTGTGTATTAACTATTACTTGTGCAGGGAGTCTGTAATGAGGCTCAAAGTTAGTAGAGATAAATTCCAGCTATGTTGGCTTTTTCTGAAGGTGGGAGATACTGCCTGGAAAGATCTTGAAGCTCTCCTAAACATTTTACTTGTTTGGAGATGTAGAAGAGGCCTGTTTTCCCCCATATACTTGTTGCGAAATGACAGTCTTCTCTGATGTCAGCTGCTGCTCCCGCATAGGCAGCCCACCAAAATGCCTTAAAAACATGCAATAACAAAATTCTCCTTTGAACTGATTGCAGCTGATGAAATGATAAGCCTCTGAACTTTTCCTCTGGAAGCTGCCAGAGGGTGTGAAAAAGTCTTACTTGCTGTGTTGATCCTGGAAGCAAAACGTCAGTGGTATTTTCAGAAAAGCAAGTTTTTCAAAGTAACCTTGTTAGGTTGTGAAGCCTGTCCTCACAAAAGAAATCTGAATAGATCCCCGTGGAACCATGCATCTGCCTCCTACAATCCAATGGGCCAGCTTCTCCTCTCGGTTATGTGTAAGCGACCACACTGATGGCAGTTCAGCGCAGTGTGTCTGAAGACATTTAGTGGATTTGCCAAAGCCTATCTACAGCATGCAGCGAGCTGCCGGCTGGGGGGAGCTGGGCGGCTCTGGGCTGGCTGCTCCTGGCCCAGGTGTGGGGTGGCTCTGGCAGGTGCCTGGGAGCCAGGCACAGCGGCATCCTGACACAGCTCACAAGGTTTCGGAAGCGGGCTGTGGTGTCTCTGCATGCTGCCGCTCCACTCCGCGACGTATCAGCATGCTCAGAGGTAGCTGTTGTGTTTGTTTCTGCACCGCATTCTGCTCTTGTTTAGGCAAACCCTCTGTTTTCTCAGGTCTGTGAGCTCTGAAATCAATCTGCCAGCTACCTGCAGTAGGCACACAGTACAACTTTTCAGGTCCAAAATCTAAAAAAATCTTGTAGAGGAATGATTTTACCCATTTTCTGTTTCACTTCCCCTGGTGTACGTGCTTAATTATTGTGCATGGAGCCACATCACCCATAGGCGTGTGCTTATCTGTGCAAATTTGCTCTGAGACCCAAATCATTATCATTATTCATAATTATCTGCACTGCTTGATCTAGAGAAACAGAGGACAAAGGAGATACCATTAACTGAGTCACCCACTGGATATTACAACTGAGGTATAAATCTAAACTCACATAAGCCTTGCGTCTGATGGTAATGCATCTGTAATCAATGGCAGATTTCTGAAACTCCCCTGCTATTTAGCCCAACAAAATTATTTCTCCATATCTTCTCTTTTTGCCTCCACACTCCATTAATTTTGGCCACGTCCATATCATCTTTGCCCGGATCTCTTCACTATAACATTTGGTCTTGGCAAGACCTCTTTCTCAGTGAACTAACTCCTGTTCCTATTTGTGGGGTTTTTTCCATATCTGGGTCAGTAACTGGTTAAAACTTTTCTGGACTTGATCCTTTTCGGTAGAGTTGGATAAGTAAGACGAACAGCAGCAGCATAGCTGCAGACCTGTATGTTTTCAGCACTGCAGAACAAAATGCATGGGCGTCAGTTTTCCTTTGTTCTCACCGCAAGACCTGCTCCACGACAGCAGTGGAGTGCACCTCTGTGCAACTTGGATATCATCAGATAGTGGAACTTGCACAAATCCACTTCTACTTTCCTCCTCCGAGCCTTTGTTTCAGAGCTTTCCTGCTCTTGGGTGGTACGTCGTTCTGGAGCTTGCTGTGGCTTTACTGGTTCCTTGCCCAGCCCACGGGCACAGCGGACACTGTGGCGTTGATGTCAGGAGGACTTGTGAGATGAGTACAGAGGTAGCTGAGGCTTGACCCTATGGCAAAACTCAAAGCTCTGCGTAGTCTTGAGCACAGTCCAGAGAAACATGGCTCATAAAGAACACAACAGCTGTCCAATGCAGCTGATTCATTTAGCATATTATTCCAGATGTCTTTCGCCATTGTTAGTGTAAGTAAAATGCCTCAGATGTGATGGCAGTCATTTCAGCTGTGTCTAGAGTACAAGACTAAAGAGCACGTCCCAGTTCTCGGATCAAGGTGCATGCAGTTTTAGGTTTAAATGGCAGTAAATTATTTTTTAACTAGTACTGGAGTTTATGAATAGTGTATATAAAATAACTGGTGGCAGAATCTGATGGAGAAACATTTCTCATGCTTCTTCAAGAACGACTCAGTGTGGGCGCATAAGCCCAGGAAATAGTGGAGTAGCCAAGTGCACTGCAGTGAAAAAATGTCTTGACCACCTTATGCAGTCATGTGAGGATGTGAAGGCCAATGCAGCCATGACCCACCTTCATTTCCCTCTCTCTTCTCATGGTGACAAGAAGGAGTCCCATCAAGAGTCCACCTTATTAACTCATAGCTTCTGTTAAATCTCTGCAGAATTTTGAAACCTTCTTCCTTACTCTTTCAATAACTAAGGTTGCCTTGAACCTTCCTGACAAACATTGGTGGTTAGATTTGAGGTGTTTTTCACAAGCTCAGTTCCTGCATTTCTGCTATCTTCTGGTAGCATCTCGTTACATCCACAGTAACAAGAGCTGTCTCATTTGACAAGGAAACTGCAGGTTCCCAACAGAAGTTGTTTTCTGCTAAGATGTGGCTGTCTCAAGTTGCATCCTAAGAGCTAAAGAGCAGAGCACCAGGACACGTCTGTGGCCACTGCGGTGACAGTACCGAGCACAGTGATCCTCTGTGCTAGAGACTGGCGAGGTGCAGGGAAAAAGTGCTAACTGCAGCTGAGGACTTGCTTCTCAAGGGCATGAAGCTCTTGACTGAGCACAGAG